CCCTGAAGAATCCACTGAGCCCCAGCCCTCACACACACTGCCAGGCCCCAGGGAGGACTGGGAGAGCTGTGTGGAAAGCAGCCCCCCAGAGGGCGGGGGTCTGGGAAGGATCCTGCGCTCAGAGTCCCCGGGCCCCAGCCTCTTCCATGAAGGGCAGACAGACACTCACGCCCAGAAGTCCTCCGCTGTGTCAAACTTGGTGACCAGTTGCAGGTTATCCTGCCAGGCCCGGCTGCGGTCATTCTTGAAGAACCACAGGGCCCACCTGGAAGCAGAGAGCCCTTGTGCCCACCCCCAGCAGCACCTGGGCTGGCAGGGAAGTCTCGCCCTTTCCAGGACAAACTGGGGGACAATATTTGGGGGTACAGACCCCCCCAAGGTGACTGGAGTCGGTTACCCTGGTGGGGCAGAGGGCCAGAGGAGAAGTGGAGGCACTTAACCCAGAATCCCAGTGGGGTTAAGGCAGGAAGGAACACAGGGCCCAAGTCTTAGGCCAGCTCTGACCTTCTCCTTGAGAGAGGAAGGGGCTGTCCAAGGCCGCAGAGCAGGAGCCTGCCCTACCTGTTCTGCAGAAGGTGCAACTCCAGCGTGGCCTCCACTGGGCCCTCACTGCGGGCCTTCCCCCTCAGGGGCAGCAGAGTTGAGGGAGAGTTTGGAGCCTCCTCTCTCATTGATGCTCCCGCTGCTGCTGCTGCCTCCCCTTCCTCTTGCTTTTTTTCCTCCTTCTCCCACGTTAGGATCTCACCCTCAGCCTCTCTGACCTGACAGAGAAAGGAGTCAGGGTGGGCTGTGAATTCCGGCCCCGGCTGCCCAGGCTGCAGGAGGGGCAGGCAGGTGGGCTTACAAGGGTGCTGGTAGCCATGCTGAAGCAGGAACAGCCAAGAGGGACCCCCAGCTGCCAGCTTTTAACCCATCAGCGCCCCGCCCCTCAGTGCTCAGGGCAGGGAAAGGCCCTGAGTGCTCAGGGCTGGGGAAGGGGTGGAGCCAGCATGGGGCTGCTCAGAGGGAGGAGGGCTCACACTGTTCCTTCTATCAACAGCCTTTAGCAAGCACTTTCTGCCTGCAGGCCGGGGCTGCGGGACAGGTGTGACCAGGCAGGCTCAACCCCACCCACATCATGTGGCTGAGACAGGAAGGTAAGGGTCAATATTGGGGGGCTGCCCTTAGTAACACCGAATCCCACCGAGGGTGGGGTTTGAATTTGAAGCAGACGGTCTCAGAGATGGCAGAAGCAGTGACTGGCACAGCTGGGGCGAGGCCAGGTCAGAGACCTGATACGTGCATGGTGGCATGCCCTTGTTTCTCTCTGCTGCCACTCACCTCCTCGCGTGGCCACCAATGCCATCTGACACAGCATTCGTCCGGTCTCGGGAAGCAACTGAGTTTATGTTAAATATAATCATTCAGAAACCGGGAGATTGTATTAAAAATCCACATTTTTGGTTTCTCTTGAAAATTTGGGAAGGTCTGGCAACACTGGGGCCTCCACCTCACAGGTCCACAACCCACTGCGGCTGAGGCTGCCCTTCGGCGGAACAAATGAGGTTGCACATGACCCCACCAGCCCACCACTCTCCTGGCCTGTTCTAGTATCGCCCACCTGGGCATGGATGGCAAGGGGTAGTGCCACACAATCGGGGTTCCAGTCCTCCCTACCCTGACCTCAGCCAAGTTACTGAACCTCATTGAGTCTATTTCCCCATCTGTAAAATGGGAAGGTTAATGATACACAACTCAGAAGCTTATTGTATTAAACGATATAAAACACAAAAGGCCCATAGAAGAAGGCCTGGCTCAGAGGTCAATAGACATCACCTGAGAACTACCCTGTTGGGAGTGGGGGTTGGGAACTGGAAAGGGAAACGGGGAGTGGAGTCGGTGGGAAGTTCTAACTCTGAATACCCTTTCCCAGCCTTCTCAACAGCACCCTTTTCTGCAGGGGCTGATGCCTCCCCAAGTTTCTTACAGTTTCTCTCCCTCCCCCTGCCCACTTTTAGGGGCCCAGATCTCTAAGGCAGTGGTTTTCAACCTTGGCTGCACATTAGAATCACCTGGGAATCTTTTTAAAATCCTGATTTCTGGGCCTCATCCTCCGGAAATTCTGTTTCTTTGTTACTAATGTTGTGGCCCCACCCCATAACAAAGAAACAGAATTTCCGGAGGATGAGGCCCAGAAATCAGGATTTTAAAAAGATTCCCAGGTGATTATAATGTGCAGCCAAGGTTGAGAACCACTGCTCTAAGGGGACCAGTCCCTTCCCCTCCCCCACACCGAGGGAAGCCCATGACCACCTGGAGGCTGACAGGCTTTATTTATTCAGCCCCCATCCCCTAATGCTAGGTATGTGCCAGGCATGGGGTTATGTGCTAGGAGGTGGTGAGTGCAAAAACTGGGTGGCCCCTCTTCTCTGATCTGCCAGGGAGCCAGACATCAGATAATCTCCCCAAGATCACCTTTGTAATCACCTCTGAAGGGAAGGAATTGCAGGTGGAGGAAATGAAGTCCACCACCTGACCTGGGGCTTTAGAGCAGTTCTCAAGTGCGTGCGCCAGAATCACCTGCCGGGCTTGTTAAGCAGACCACATTTCAAGAACCACTAGCTCAGAGGTAGCTCACTGGAGAGGTGATGTTTGAGCCGAGAGCTGACGTATGAGTGAGAGTTAACTAGGTCGTGGAGGAGGGCATCTCAGGGGTGGAGCAGCATGCGAGAGGCTCTGGGGCAAAGGGATCATGGGTACTGGAAGATGAGAAGAAAGAACAGTGTGGCGAAGCCCAAAGGAGGAAGGGATGGTAAGTCTTGATCCCAGGAAAGTGGAGAGCATCGCTGAGTGCTTAAGTTGGGACAGATGGGCTGGGCAGGTAATCGCATGGGCTTTCCAGCAAGTTCTCTGTAGAAACACAAAAACACTCTTGGCACCAAGAGTGGGAGGAGATTTATGAGGATGCTAACATAGTTTTCCAGGTGGCGGGGAAGATGGAGAGAACATGGGTTTCAGAGGTATTTAGAAGGAAGACTCAGTGGCGATTAGTGATGGACAGGCTCCGGGCAGGCGAGGCATGGTGTCCCAGCTACCTGTTGCTGCACAATAAACCACCCAAACTTAGTGACTTAAAACAATAATCATTTCTTTCACTCACAGATCTGCAGTTTGGGTAGCCCTCAGTAGGGACAGTTCATCTCTATTCCAAAGCATTATCAGTTGGAGTGGCTTACAGGCTAGGGCTGGAGCCATCTGCTCACTCCCATTGGGGCAGTTGATGCTGGCTGTCCACTGGAACCTCAGCTGAGGGTGTCTGCTTGCTAGGACAGCTCTGGTGGCCTCTCCATGTGGCTGCTTCCCTTCCTCACATTGGCTGGGTTCCTAGAGTGAGAGTCCCAAGAGATGGGAAGCAGAAGCTACCAGTTGCCTAAAGCCTGGGCCCCAAAACTGGCACAGCATCATGTCCATGGTATTTGAGTCCCAGGGCCCACATGCAAGGATGATGACATAATCCTTGGAAGGAGTATGATATAATCCACTGGGAGGAGGGTTAAAGAATTTTGGACAGAGGAAGCACTGGAAGAGGGCCAGGAAACCTGTATTTCCCCTCTATCCATTTGATAAAGTATACCCTTATAAGCAATATTGAAGAATTTATATTTTTCTCCCTACCTAATCCCTCCAGAAGTTGGCAGCTCTTAATGAATATTATTATTTTCTTAGCAATATGTTTGTTTGCATGAATCCAATAAGAATCTGGTCTCTTTATAATAGGACACATAAAGCCAGTTTCCAACTGTAGTTTTATCCACCAAGACTTTGATTGGAATGTCATGATGGAGAGAGACATGCCTAGATTCTGGATGTCACCAGAAAGCTTTAAGGAATTAAGATTGACTTTGAAGCTGGTAAAATCCCCTTGGAGAAGTGGCTAAAGACTAATTAAAGCTCAATCTGGAGATTCCTTATGAGACAGATTCCAGCAAAGCAGATTTTTAAAAGCCTGTATGATCAATTCTTCTTCTTCTTGTGTTTATGCAAATAAGCAGGCCAAATTGAAACTGGACTTACTGCAGTAAATAGTCTTGATTTGACCATCTCTGATTTTTTTTTTAAAAAGGAGGGTGATTTTAGTGGGGGGAGGGGGTCTGTGTTTCAGTAGAATCTATACTACACAGTTGTGGATATTAGACTCTAGTTAAAGTTTTACTTTTCAGCCCTGACCGGTTTGGCTCAGTGGATAGAGCGTCGGCCTGCGGACTGAAGGGTCCCAGGTTCGATTCCGGTCGGGGGCATGTACCTTGGTTGCGGGCACATCCCCAGTGGGGGGTGTGCAGGAGGCAGCTGATCAGTGTTTCTCTCTCATCGATGTTTCTAACTCTCTATCCCTTTCCCTTCCTCTCTGTAAAAAATCAATAAAATATATTTTAAAAAAAAAAGTTTTACTTTTCACCAAAAAACTGAATTGCATCCTGAATTTTTCTAGTTTTCTTAAATATTTGGGTGCAACTCTCCAAACTAATGTTTCAGTTTTCTCCCATCCTTTGACTTGGAATTATTGAGAATTACTGATGCAGGGTAAACCATACAAAATTTACATGAGCACCTGGTGGTATTCAAACTGCAGATAAGGAGTATCTATCAGACTGTAACAGTTTGCTTTCATTCCAGCAAAAGAAACTCTGAGCCTTACATCTAAACATCTTCTCAACAGACAGCCTTACAAGCAGAGCAACTAGTTTATCATTTACTCTGATCATTAACCTTTGTTTCTTCTCTCCTGTTTTCATGGGCAAACCCCTGTGGGATACCTGATTGCCTGTTTACACAGCACAGGTCTCACTTTGGGAGGCCATCTGCATCACTGCCTCCTAAAATGAGATTTAGCAATTTAACTGAACTGACTTTTTTTCAGAACTAAATAACTGAGTCTATGAAATATGAAGCAACCTACCAACTTCACTTTATATCAACCTTTATTATTTAAAAGGGTGGGTCTGCAGAAACCAAAGTTCTGCCTCCTTGAAACTGCTTTCCCTATCCTGCCCAAGAGGTTCAGATGAAAAATAAATAAATAAACTTACTTCAGGAAAAAGATCTTAAGGTGTTTGCCTTACCTAATTTAAATTAAATATAGTGAACAAAAGGGCTTCAGGCAGATGACACGCCTTCATCCAGGGAAGCCTGTCCACCAATACTGTAAAGTCAGTCCCTCCCTCTATCACCTGGTTCTTACCTCTCCTCAGACCTTAAATAACTATAATTCTCCTCCTCATTTTCAGACCATGCTTTTTCACTTTCTTGTCAAATCTGTCACTTCTGGGATACAATTCCATATCAAGATGATAATGCTTCATGGATTCAGCCTATGCCTACTTCAGAAGAATCAGCTAATAGCCTCTCCGTTCCAGTCTCAGATCCCATTCCCTTGTCCCCCTTAGATCATGCACGGAGACACTTCCATACCATCTAGAGCAGCGGTTCTCAACCTATGGGTCGCGACCCCTTTAGGGGTCGAACGACCCTTTCACAGGGGTCGCCTAAGACCATCGGAAAACACATATATAATTACATATTGTTTTTGTGATTCATCACTATGCTTTAATTATGTTCAATTTGTAACAATGAAATTGGGGGTCACCACAACATGAGGAACTGTATTAAAGAGTCACGGCATTAGGAAGGTTGAGAACCACTGATCTAGAGGCAGATACCACAGCCTTTGTCAGCAGGAAGCAGTTACTGAAGACAGACCATCCTCCCTCATCACCCCTAAAAAAATTCAGGGATGGAAGTCTCTGTGGGGCGAATGAGCAGGCCAGTAAACCTGGAATAGGGAAACTGAGATAGATAGTTAAATGGTTGAGCAGTTTACAGCCACTTAGTAAATCACAAAATCCTATCTTCCATAACCAAGGACACT